ATGCACATGTGAAAAAAATATCAAAAACCAGGGTGTACAATCGGAAAGGTCTTGTCACAAGTAATGCACATGTGAAAAAAATATCAAAAACCAGGGTGTACAATCGGAAAGGTCTTGTCACAAGTGATGCACATGTGAAAAAAATATCAAAAACCAGGGTGTACAATCGGAAAGGTCTTGTCACAAGTGATGCACATGTGAAAAAAATATCAAAAACCAGGGTGTACAATCGGAAAGGTCTTGTCACAAGTGATGCACATGTGAAAAAAATATCAAAAACCAGGGTGTACAATCGGAAAGGTCTTGTCACAAGTGATGCACATGTGAAAAAAATATCAAAAACCAGGGTGTACAATCGGAAAGGTCTTGTCACAAGTAATGCACATGTGAAAAAAATATCAAAAACCAGGGTGTACAATCGGAAAGGTCCTGTCACAAGTAATGCACATGTGAAAAAAATATCAAAAACCAGGGTGTACAATCGGAAAGGTCTTGTCACAAGTAATGCACATGTGAAAAAAATATCAAAAACCAGGGTGTACAATCGGAAAGGTCTTGTCACAAGTAATGCACATGTGAAAAAAATATCAAAAACCAGGGTGTACAATCGGAAAGGTCTTGAAACAGGTAATGCACATGTCAAATGTAAATGTAAATTTTTCTCTCAATCATAAGTTATTAGCAATGTGAAAATTTTTGAAAAGTAGGTCAAACCTCAAGGTCATGGGATTAAAAATCATAGTACATTTGGAAATGCTTGTCACAGGTAATGCACGTGTCAAATATGAATGCCCTGTCTTCGCTCCTTCAAAACTTACAATTTTAGCAACACTGATGAAATGTTTGAAAATATGTCAAAATTAAAGGTCAAGGTCACGGGTCAAATATCATAGCACATTCGGAAACATTTTGACACAGGTAATACACTTGTCAAATATGAAAGCCCTATCATAGGTCATTTAAAAGTATTCACCAAAGTTAACATTTTTGAAAATTATGTCAAACATGAAGGTCAAGGGGTCAAAATCATAGCATGTTCAGACTCACCTTCTCACTGATAATGCACTTGTCAAATATGAAAGCCCTATCAATTCTCAATCAAAGTTACAAGCAAGGATAAAAATTTCGAAAAATAGGTCAAGTCACGGGGTCAAGGGGGATCAAAAACCATAGTATATTTAGAAAGGTCTTGTCACTGGTAATGCACATGTCAAATATGAAAGCCCTATCTCTTCTCAATCAAAAGGTAAAAGCAAAGATTTTTTTAAATAGGTCAAACTTCAAGGTCACGGGGTCAAAAATCCTAGCATATTTGGAAAGGTCCTGTCACAGGTAATATACATATTTAATATGAAAGCTCTATCTTATCTCATTCAAAAGTTATGACCAACTTAAAGTAATGTTAATTTTTTTAAACAGAGGTCAAACTTCAAGGTCATGGGATCAATCATCATAGTACAGTGTATACTTGGAAAGGTCTTGTCACAGGTAATGTACTTGTGAAATATGAAAGCCCTATCTCTTCTCATTCAAAATTTATGAACAAGGTTCAAGTTTTTGTGACAGACAGACGTACAGACTGACAGCTAGACGAATGAGATTTAATGTCCCCTTGCTTTCGCGAAAACTGGGTTCAAAAAGGCGATAACAGATAACAAATAGTAAAAACCAATCGCGAAAAAGCAGTATGGAGTAGTCGCGGGAAAGCAGACAGGTTGCTAAAATAAAATCGCGGAAAATTAGGTCAGCCGACCCTGGGGCTCATGTGATACCCTCGGCGTTGGTGTCGGCATCCCAGGTGAAAGTTTTTTGGTGCAGTTTTCTTTTTTTAAGTACTTCTATGCCCTACATTAATCAGAGATGCATTGAGGATGCTTCTAGTGTGTTTCATTGTACCAGTCAAGGTTTCAGATGCTGCAATTTCAGCTAAGGAATGACGAGGTTAATGTTTTTAGAGCTGTTTAAGGTTTTTGGAGCAGGATAAAGTTTTTGGAGTTCTCATTTCCAATTAACTATAAGCCCTATATTGACCAGACTTGCATGGATGATACATGTAAGGATGCACATTACCAGGCTTGCTTCGGATGCTGGATCTGACCTACATTTTCTGGATGAGTGACAAGGTTAATGTTGAAGCTGGTTTATATAGAGGCTTGCTTCAGATGCTGGATCAAACTTACATTTTCCGGATGAGTGACCAGGTTGAAGTTTTTTGAGCAGCTTCATTCTAAAATCACTATAAGGCCTATGTTGACCAAACTTGCATAAATGACACATCTAAGGATGCACACTACTGGACTTGCTTCGGATGCTGGATCCCACCTACATTTTCCAGGTGAGGTACCAGGTTAAAGTTTTTTGGAGCAGGTTCATTCTTAAGTAACTATTTGCCTACCCTGGCCAAACTTGCATTGATGATACATCTAAGGATGCACACTACTTGACTTGCTTCGGATGATGGATTTGACCTACATTTTAATTCCAGGTGAGTGATCAGGTAAGGTTAAAGATTTTGGCACAGGTCCATTACCAAGAAACCATAAGGCCTTATGATTCTATTTTATTATAAAATAACAAAATTTTCTTGCCCCTTACCTTGATTTGGGCATTATATTTTGTATTTGGTGATTACAAAGGTAGCATAAGTCTAAATCAAAAGAAAACTCTACAAATGTTTGGAACATGACTTATCTCTCTTATTATATGTCCTGATTTTTTTTTTTAATTGCATGTTGCTGATGGATGAGTCTTATATTTTTGTATCTGGTGATTAAAAAGTGATCATAGCTCTAAATTAAAAGTAATTAAAATTAATGGATTTCCCTATTAAATAAAATTAATAATTAAAATTAATGAAAATAACAAATAAACGATCGAAAAAGACCTATGACTTAACAAAATTATTGTTTGTTTAATTTGTTTTTTTTTTTTATCGAGGCGTGATAAACAGGTACATGTATTTATATTATTTGTTAAAGAATATGTTTCTTTTCTCAGTCGTGACCTAGGATAAAATGCTATTTTAACTGGTGTGTTTTCATTGAACATTATGCAATGTCATTTATATAATGATACCTTCAGGGTGGAGTTAAATCTCTATTTTATGTAATTTTAACCTGTCTAGAACACATGTCAAGACCGGCCTTACATAAAGTGACAAGTGGTTATGTAAGAAATTTCCATTCAGTAATCTACTCATGTCTAAATATGTATCACTCAAATATTCAAGATAAAGACTTGTTCCAAATTAATAATTACTTAATTAATCATTAATCCTGGTTATTATACGGTCTTCGGTAATTACTGCTATTCAATATAAAAAGAGTTACTTATCACCTGTTTGACATTAAATGTGCATAACTAATTAACATTAATATTTATCAACGGAAAATTTTAGTGCAGTAAAACTTAGATCATAGCGAAGTCCTGAGGACCTGCGAATTTACTTCGCTACATGTAATTATTCGTAATTCTTTATATTCGTAAAACGAATTCGTTAAAGTATATATGTATAGTACTGTAGTTTTCGGTGAATTTCATTTCAAATATAGTCATTTACATGTTCATTACTCTAATTTCGAGACAAAAGGTTAAGGAAATCTTTAACAATAAAAGAAAGAGGTATTAATTTGTAAAATTTAATAAAATAGTGTAGAACTGTTTTTCCCGAGATACTTTCAAAGTGTAACGTGTATATTGAAACTTTTCGAAATTGTGTTCAATATAAAAAAAAAATTAAAAAAAAAACGTAGAAAAGAAACGCAAATAATAATAATAATAATAATAATAATGGTCTCGATCTCGGAATCATAAGATTTTCAGTCCAGGGATTATACCCCTGCGCCACGAATTCATTGATATCCAAATGATAAATTTTAGACAGATTAGTAAATCTTACAGAAATATGAGAAGGAAAATTAAATATATATTTTTATCATTTTCAATGTTAAGACCATCTTTAACCGAATTTATCTAAATGTAATAAGGTGCAGTCATACCCAAATAAAATTATTCAGAAGTTGTTTTTCTGGTTAACAGCTGGTTAAGGGTGGTCTTTGGCAACAGTTTGTCATAGTTTAGGTAGCTACCTTAATATTTTCTATATAATCCATACAAGCTGAACAATTTCCATATTAATCGTATAAGGGAACTAAAATATTTAAATACTATTATAGTGTAAATTGAGTTTACTAATGTATAAACTAAGATTGTATAAAAAAAATATTGGTTTAAAAATGTTTTTGAGAAATCACTACTACAGTAGGCGAAAATGCCTATCAAGTGCGCTATGGCTCTTTTGTTATTTGTAACCTCCTTGGAACACATTTATCAGTGTGCTATAACCATATTACTGTTCGTTATAACCGTAGAATTTTACAAGGAATTGTAAACTTCTTTAACTTTGTTGGAGATTCCAAAAAAATCTCTGCTATATCCGTAAATTCGCTATATTCGTGATTGTACTTATCGAGTTTTTCTGTAGCTTTGTAAAAAATCTCAAACACATAGTTATGACAAAATGTCTTTATTTACAATGACATTATGCCTCTACCTTGTATTCACAGGCATTGGACAATCGAGTCCAAACAAGGATTTATAAATCACATATAACCCTCAACTCCTCTCTCATGTTTTCCCTTGTTAATCAACTGTTTATGCTAGTCATACATTTTGTAAGTTCATTCGATATGTCCCAAGATTGACGACTTTATCATATTTTAAATATTTCCTATCATTTTAACCAATTGAATGCACACAATTTCAACCTTCCATGCAGGTGACAGCATGGTCATCAATCCCAACAAGAGTTACCAAGTACTAGTCTCTTTTTATCAGAGTCAACGAACCTTAATCCTTATCGTCTTTCACCTACCAAGTTTGTAAAAGATAACTTGTGTGTTTTGAACCTAATGCAACACAGCACAAATATATGGAATTTTCTACTTCCATGACTGGAATTTGCATACATTATAACTGATCATATATAAATAATGAAAGACTTTTTAATTTTAAGTAACAATTTATTATTATTATTCACTTTTCATAATAAAACTGAAGCCCATTCTGGAGATTCCTAGGGATTCATCAGATACAACTGTGTAAAACAAGGTTTGCTAAACTTATACACATGTAAATAAAAATATACATATATAACTTACTCAATATGATTAATGAATCAATGGTACGCAGCGCAGATCTTTTATATGAAAACATAATGCATAGATATATATAAATCAATTTAAAAACAAAATATGAACACTTTTAAAAAATAGAAGTACGGTTTTCAACACACTTATAGGAAATATAATATGAACTCTTGAAAGTTTTTTTTTCATTTTAAACGAAAATATGAACGTACGGGACAATACACAAAAACAAAGAAGACAGTTTATTGGTCTCTTAATCTACACACGTTGTTCTGACAATGACTTCCGTTACGGAGTAGGGATCACAATTGGAGGAGGGACGTCTGTCTTCGAGGTAACCTTTCTTTTCTTCTGCAACATTGCGGGGAATTCGGATGCTTGCACCACGATTAGCCACCCCAGCAGAGAAGTCGTGGATACTGGAGGTTTCGTGGAATCCTGTCAGACGCCTCTCGTTGTCTTTTCCTTCCTTCGGGTCGTAAGCTTTTATGTGTCTGACGTGGTGTTTGGATAGTTTTTCTATTGCATCCTCAATATATCTGAAGAAATTAAAAAATATCTATAAAAGTTTGTAAAACTTGCACGATATTCAAATAGATTGTAATAAACAACTAAAACACTAAATAATTTGCTTCTGTTTATTCAACTGGTAACTTCCAGTATATATTTTGCAGTAGTTGATTCTATGAAAAGATAACCAATTACCTTGCTTATTTGTCAATATATCGCTATTTAGATGAAGTTGAATCTAGAATCACCAAGTCTTTTTTGGAAATTTGAGTACCCGGTACTTACTTGATTCCCCCATCCTGCCTCATGGGGAGGGTACTGTAGTTACAGTGAGCCCCAGCACCATTCCAGTCTCCCTCAATAGGTTTGGGGTCAAGGGTCACCACAACACCAAAGTCTTCAGCTACCCTGTGTAATAAATATCGTCCAACCCAGAGGTGGTCGCCCATTGCGATTCCCTCACAAGGGCCAACTTGGAACTCCCACTGTGAAACAAATAAAATTCATATTAGCATAACAACAAATTTATGCATATGTTTATCATAGCATTACCATGACTTAAGTCCAGATACACTTGAATTTTTATCTCCAGATCTGTCACCTTTGGCCATTTTGTGTGAAATATATGAATAGGGGAAATATCTTGATTTATTTTTTTAACTGCTTTGCTGGTGATTCAACCTTACTTTTAATTTCAAATCTGAGATGAACTCATGTTTTTGACAAAGAATGTGTAATAAAAACTGTCTCAGGAGGCTATTTTATCTTGCATACCTGGGCAGGCATGACCTCAGCGTTACAACCAGCGATTTTGACCCCAGCATACAGGCAAGCCCTGTAGTGAGCCTCAATAATGTCACGTCCGTACACTTTATTAGCTCCCACACCACAATAGTATGGTCCTGAAATTCGAAAGAGTTCAAGGTCAGTACATTAATAGCTAGAGATAGTAATCAACAATTGACAAACTATCAGGGATTTATAATTTCTTGATTATACAAGCTTCCTTCTGACTTAGATAAAATCTGTGTTATACAATTGGCCTATATATTCACTTTACATTTGACATGCAGGTAAACTTAACCCCCAAACCTGAATATACCACTGATAAGAAATGGAATCAGCTAGAAAAAAGTCCCCCAGGTCAAATGTTTAGATGAATTTCATGATATATGTTCAGATTTTTATAATGGTACCACATAAAAACTCCATTAGGAATGATGAGTACGGTAGATCTTCCATGACAATAGCAACAGCAAGCAGAACATATGTTCCGGTTGATTAAGTTTTTATTATACCAGTAATTCACTGTCCAATGATCTTAATGTATACAGTACACACCTTGAGGTCCTGGGAAACCGTTTTTGGGCCAGCCGAATGGATGACCGTCAGTATCTAACAGTGTGTACTCCTGTTCAATCCCGAACCATGGCTTCTTGTCTTTAGCCTGTTCCATTACCTCATTGCACGTCTTTCTACGATTTGTTTCTAAAAAAAATACAAACACACACATTACTAATTAATTTTTTCTGAATATTCTTTCCTAAAATCATATCACAAACTTATGTTCATTAATTTTGATAAACCGTTAATTAGTTGTGTAATTACCTGCTGGTTTTTTGTTGTATTTGTAAACTTCACACAGAACTAGTTTATTTGGGTCCCTCCGGAATGGATCTCTGAAGATAGCCACAGGGTAGAGGTACATGTCCGAATTTGAACCTTCTGCCTGATACGTACTGGAGCCATCATAATTCCAAACGGGGCACTCTGAGTCCAAGGTAAACATTAATTATTTATGACCAATAAATTGGATTGAATTAATTCTATCAGAATTTAATTAAGATTATTACAGACAAGCTGCATATTATTCCTTTTTGAGAATCGTATTCTCTAGTGCAATAATTTATGAGCAGTCAAATTTCTATGGAAAATGCATACGGCAAAAAACAAAAAATGTTTTTGTTTACATCCAGCTATCAAGCACAAACTAATCATGCTGAAGTTACTCCTATACAGACCATTTTTTTTTTATTTAAAAAGAGTAAAAAAAATTTCATGTTATTCTTCACCAATTCATTTTTTTCTTTTTCTTTTGAAGCTTTACAATAAATAAGTAGCTCTTTCTCTGTCGACCTGATTGATTCTCACATGCATGATAATCTCGTGTGTGATAGCTGAGTTCTTTAAGGTCAAGGGCATTTAAAAACATCCCAGAGCATAAAATTACCATGAGAAAATTAATCATACTGAAATGGTCAACAACCCCACAATACTAGTTAAAAAACATGCTATGCAAATTGTATTATTTTTTTTCCACTTAATTTTTCTGTTAGTCACAGTGTGAGTGCATGTCATATGTAAAAGCTCATAAAATATCGGTCAAAAAATATGCTCTCGGAAAACAATCATCATGACTCATGGAAAAGCTAACATATAGTTCAATAGCACCATGTATAATTATGTCTTGTCAATGAACCCCATTTTTTAATGGGTTTCAAAGTCCACATGTGTGGGCAAGATTTATGACAGAGAGTCCCTTTCATGCTTCAATAAGCCACTAAAAATAGTTTACGATTGAAGCCTATCTAACAATGTCCATATTGATACTGGTAGATAATAAATAAAACTTTCTTTTTTAAACTGATAAGAGCAATCAATACTTCAAAGAATACCTTTGGGATCCTTAGGTTCGAAGTCCAGGGTCTTACATTTGGATCGGACACCTTCTCCTGTGCCGTCAATCCAGATGTACTCACACATGACCTTATTGTCCAAGGGTAGGTCCATGTAACGGTCAAAGACCGTTTTGTTGGTCTGAGCTGTGTATGACATTTTGCCAATTTCTGAAGAAAAAATGCAATTTCTATTTCACTAAAATCTCCCTTTTTATATTTAAATTAATAGCAATAGTTTTCTCTGGGAAAAACGATTAATTTAATTAGCATCTTTGGACTTGCAACCCCCCTCCTCCTCAGTAAAAAGGGTGATGCATATATTAGAAAATTTCTTATGAATTAAATCATTTCCCGTCCAAGCACACTGCTCCGAATTTCATCCCTTTTGAGGACACAATATTAAATATTGTATGCATGGATTGGTTAATATACTTTTAGACTTTGGTTGCAAAGTAATATATATATTTCAGATCTCCTAAATATCAGGAAATAGTTGACTCTCTGTGATGTTAAATTTTCTTCCCATTCTGCCATCACCTTAATGCAGCTAATTAACTTATTCATTATACTTGCATAAACACTGCCTCATTTAGTTATTTTCATCATTTCATGATTTTTTAAAAAAAAGTTTGAATCTTTTGTCCCTAATAATAAAAAATTTTTCATCACATCCAAAATTTTTCAGATAATGGGTTTCCCCCGTTTGTGACGCACTAACCTATATTTTGCAATTGCACTAAGTAAATGTCATAGCCTAGTCATGCTGCCCTCTCGTGCATGCAGAACTGTGTACATTCTTTCCTGATTTTGTTCAGCTACATATGTATGTCAACCTCAAACTAGGGTTTTGTTTTTGTCTTTTTTAAATAATGTTCATGAGTTTTTCATCAAAGCGAATATCTGATCCATTTCAATAATCTCACTTCAATAAAATAAGCGATCTAGTTTGTATATTAAAAGGTAAGGATAAAATTATATAATTATTTTTTCTAATATTTACTTTTTCTCTTTCAAGGTGGCAATGAACTTGTAGGATTTCCTAAAATTTCTCATTTATGCCCCACCCTATAAGTTACACAACCTCTACAAGGCATCCATATTATATAATTTAGCGCCTTTGTGTCAGTGCAACCGAAGACTATCTAACTTGCGACCTTGACCTTTAAAAATCAGCTGTTTCTGTTATATGCAGCTGGTGACGAGAAATATAAATGGACCGTTCTTCATAAACCCTTCCTACATTATAAAAATGCATTTTAGTAGTGTAGTATACAGGTATAATCTTTCTGAACCAGCACGCAATACAAAGAATTCTGCTTCTTTTTTTTTCAAATTTTCAGTTCAATTTTCGTGGGAAAAACAATGACTTTCTAATGTTGCACGATTTCCCGTCATGATACTGGTAAGGGTGTTATTTCCTTTTTAAGTAATATATATTTAGTACAATTATATTGCGTTTAATAAATACGTTAAAATCTTACCTTACAACAACAACTCCGTGTTGACACAATCTGTTTCTTTTACTATTTGAGTAAATTTCCGCGAGTTTGGAGCAAAACTTCATTATCTGTACACGCTAGTCGCTGATTGGACGAAGTCGAATTCTCGATTTCAATTGGCCAATGCCTCTACAGAGCCAATGAATAAATATTAGTGTCACGCATGCTGTGGCTGGATTTTCATCAAATTGCGTATATTTCACAAATATAATTTTAATCTATTATATTGATAGCAAATAAATAAAATAAGTGCATGGAACTTTCTCATAAGGAAAAGAAAACTGAATAATAAAACTTATAGATGCGCATATAAACATATTCTTGATGTACGCCTGTGGCTATGACCAAACATATGCACGTGTTTACCAGTTTACTTCGCCTCACACGTGCAGCACGGGTCGGGTACACGACGTTAGAAAGAAAGGTATGAACATTGTTCAAACGAAAAACTGAGCTCTGTGTACCTGAAGGTAGTGTAAATTATATACTGACATGAGTAATATATATAGTCATGCCCTTGCTGGAAACTTAACTGTTTAATTTATTTCGGGCGGATAATGTATAATGATAACCAAATGGAGTTTATTAATGAAGAGAGATGAATACAATATTTTGAGTTTAAGACTCCACGGGATCTGGAGTAAATTCAAAATTGATTAACATTTTGTAGCTTGTATTGGAAAAAGGGACGAAAACTTAGTTATTTACGTGGTTCTTTGGGATCCTTCGGATCACAGATAATTTTTAAAGAACATATAACATCTGCCTTTAATTGCGAAGAATTTATTTAAGAGATAGCCGATAGATGAAATCAGGGACTTGGCATGGTTTTCAAATGGCGGTGTCTTTCCATGCAGCCAATACTGGAGAAATGGGCCTCTAAATCGAAGAATTGAAACCGTTTTCTGTTGATTGAACGCGTGTTGACGACTGACAGACACACCAACATCGAGGAAAATCATCAGTATAGGGGATAGAATCATGACAACGAAATAAATTAATGCTTTAGAGTCCATAAATAGGTGCTGAAGTGGGTGAGGATATTTTTTCCAAGATGACAGGCCGTAGAAACCGACGGGGAGCGTCTCCCCCCCCCCAATAATTTTGCCGATATATAGATTACAAGAGAAAACATAGGTACTATATGTTTCTGCCCCCTCGATAAAAATGTCTGGTGCCCCCTTTTTTTTTGCTTGTCAAAGAATTTTTGGTAGTTGATCATGTTGATAGTGTCCCTCCAACTGAAAATGTATGGCTGTGCCCACTGCCCCCCCCCCAACTGAAATTGCTTCCTACGGGCCTGTACAATGTAGGTGCGGTACTTTGTTTTAAACATGGTATTTCTTGTCTGAAAGTGTCAGAATCTTTATTGTAACAACATTTTTAAAAATGTATTTAAAGTAGATTCAAAATTTTATTGATTTTTTTTTTACATTAAATATCCGGAAGACAAATCCCTGTACCCCTTATATGTTTAGCAGATCACTACACGAACTGAATGAGTAACCTGTTTGTTCTTAATTTTTAAACAAGCATATATAATTTTGAAAGATATTTCAGAAATAACTATCTTTTTTAAGCAACCAAAGAAAATATATACAAGGTTACGGCATGATATTTAATTTCAATTTAATAATTGCATGAATATGTATGTACCTTTTGCCAAGCTTAGGATTTCAAAATTTGCAATTTTTTTGTATATACATTTTCGTCAGAGGAAGATATTATTTATATTTGTTAAAGAAGGATGATATCCATAAAGGATTTTTTTAACCTTTCAGTGGACAGATTATAAATTGGATTCATCAACAATACAGACCTATTTTCCTCGTTTTGCCTATATGTATATAGTTTCCAAAATTTGGAAATCTAATTTGTACATGTATTTTGAAATATAGTCAGTCATAAAACATATGGGCCTTTAATTCAAGGTCAGACTTGTTTTGGTCATCGGAAAGTAGGTTAAAACGATCGTAAAGTCCCGTGGTCTGACGGTTTAATTGCTCATAATCTTGTTTACTTTATATAAATGAATATGAAGAAAAATTGTGAGGGTGATGTCCCCAGGGTTAAAAGTTTGACCTAGTTAAAAACTGGACAACACATGAGAAACATTGTAAGCAATACAATAACTTGTTTTAAAATCAAAACTAGAAAGATGAAAGTTATGCTTGACTTACTAAAATAATGCTTAAATAATTTGATTCAAGTTCGTTCCTATTGGGAGGGGGGGGGGGGGGGGTTGTCATTTTTATATATAGAGCTACATGTACTAATGGCATCACACCTGATGGAAGTCAAAACAACATGACAGTAATTTGAGTAATTATGATCAACTATAAAACGTCATAAATGTCGGTATTGTAAGTTATATTATATACAATGAATTAATAACCTTCTTTTTAATGTAAAAACACGAACACATTAATTAAACTAATGTATATAGTTTTAAGTACTGTACTACACGCTTTAAAAAAGTATTTCACTGATAATTTTGCAAATAATCTTCGAAACGCCTACACCAGAGTTCATACTTACATGTCTAATATAACTCTAGGTATAAGGTGATGTCCATGTTTAGATTTCATTCGCATAGTAATTATCGTAAATTTAATTAAAAATATACCTTCTTTTTCGATAAAAAGCCGTGAAATAGCGAAAAGAGAGTATGGTGGTGGACAAGGTTGGCGGATCTAAGTTACTGGCAAATTTTAATAAAATTGGAAACTAACAATCGTTTAAAATTTGAAAAAAAAATGGATGTAAAAAAACGTCATGATTGAACTATTTGATCAAAACTTTTATAAAAGTAGACTGTGATAAATGATAAAGGTGATTTCATACTCACACTTATGTGGGTTCAAAGTTGAAAAACTGCATTAAAATCCACTGAATATTGTTTAAAATAATAAATGTCTAGGTCGCAACTCTTTCAAGATGTCCGTCAGAGATAGCATTATTACAATGTAGATACATGGGAAGAGTTATTGCCCTATGAATATTTTTTTTAAAATGAATAAATAATCTATTTATAGTAAATGATATTTTTAAAATTCTTGTTAAACAATATTTTTAATTACATCCATTTAAAAAGATTCTTCCAAAAGTTATATTTCTAGTGGACACGAACTTAAATTTGATGAAAAATGTTACAATGATGTATGATATCACACGAATGACCTGGAATTGCTTTAAAAAGCAAAATGTGCTTTTCGTAGTATTGATGGCCAGAGAGTTATGAATGGCATCGACCCCGATGTAAAAATGAAAATCGTGAATGAGCAAGGAAATAATAAATGTTAATTAAACTATAAATAGTGAATATATTTATGTATAGAAAGACTATTAGTGAGTTGTGGTAATAAATTTATGAGTGTATTCTCTTCTTTTATCCTTGATAGAAATAGACATAAACGAACTCGAAGTACAATATCTAAATACGACAGGTATAAAAAAAAAATTGGCCATAGCTAAGAATTTCTTTTTAAAATTTCATAAATTCTTGGGCTGATTGCTTGTGCCACCCAAATACCTAAAGAGTATGAGGTCTAAGCAATAACTGGGTTCTTGGTTGATGCCTTTTATAAAAAGTCAGCAAAACAATGTGTTCACTGCTCATTGAGGTTTTCATCAGCAGGTTTTAATATAACTATCTTCAATTTTGAAAAAAAAAATAATTCCATCCCTGCCTCCTGGGTTTGACCCCCCCGGCGACAAATCCAAACAATTTTAAAAGGATGGCCTGAGAGTTGCTTACATTTAAAGAGAAAATAGCAATTAATAAATATTTTATTGTTCAAATGTGTGCAGTAAAAGCGATACACATGCCTCCAATATACGTTATCACATTTTTTACAGAAGCATATCATTTAATAAATCAGATTTAAAAATCGTGTTTTATTCAATAATTCCATCTATAGTCACTGTAAAAGTAATAGGAAGGTATATGAATTGGATTGTGCACACCCTACTGCCTATTTGTCTTAGCCTTTTCGTGTCCGGATGAAAACTTTCACAATGTGAGGACAATCAAAATTGATGCATCTTGTTGGGGGTGGGGGGTGGGGGGGGGGTTACAACCCAAAACTAAGCTATAGTGGCTTCGTTTTGGAATTGCTTGTCTATAATGATTAAATTATGTCTATAATAATTGGATCATGTCCGAATCTTATTTGCACACTGTTAGACCTAGGACAATCAAACTTGGACAGTTGGTGCATCTTGAAGGGAAGGGGGGGGGGGGGGGTCGCAATCCAAATGTAGGTCACTGTGGCCTCATCTTGGAATATCATGGCCTTCATAACCAAATTCTTCTGGAATTTTAATGGCTATGCATAATCAAATAGGATCCGGACATATCTTCTACAATACAATACAATACCTTGATCAGTTGATAGTATGTCTAGGTAGGATGGTGTATAATAATCCAAAGTAGGTCACAGTGACCTCATTTTGGATGTATGGCCATACAAAATCAAATCATGTTTGGGTCATATCTTGCACACTGTGAGACCGAAGTCGTTTCACGACCCAAAGTCATCCTCACAATGTCAAGGTTTTGTGATTTCGGAACTCCCCAAAACTTGACATTGTGAGGATGGACCCAAAGTAAGTAACATTGACTTCATTTTGGAATTCTTTAACTATCCGTAGTCAAATTGTGTCTCAGCTGAGAAGTTGCTTTAACTCAGCACTAGTTATACTTGTTCACTTTGACTTGTCAAGCTTGATAAACAAATGTTTTACTGGATGTGTAATGCCAGTAATGGTCAAGACTATGTGCACATGCAAATGAAGCATCATTAGTCAATATATGATGTGCAGAAACGTGGTATCGTTTTGTGAGCTGGTAAACATGCTGCTCCTATTGCGTGAACACCTATTTATTTACCTTTGTGAGATGAAAACAATACATTAATTAATGGGAATGTTAGCAATTTTATAATAGTTTGAGGTGCAGGCTAAAAGCATATACTGAAAAGTAGTAAGAAATTATATTGTACACATATATTATTGTTTTATGTGTTCAAGGACTAGTAAATTCTTCAATTCTTTATCAAGTCTTCTTTTTAAACCATATAGTCTGGTATAAAATACGCCC